AGATTCTGCAGGGGAAGCCCAGCTGTCTTCTGCACCCAAAGGAGTTTATTAGGCATCTGTACCAGGAAGTTGGGCAACTTGTTTTTGACATCTAGTAAGCATGGGCTTTATTTTTAACCACAGTTTTGTGCACCATTTTTAAGTGCAGTTGCAGTCAAGAAAGTTGTTTTTCAAGGCACAGGAAGAAGTGCTCTGCCCTAGCATGGTAACAACTGACTTCTGCGTGGACAGAAAAGCCCCGTGCAATCTGGGTTCTAACGCTGACTGAAGCTGGTGGACCCTGCGGCTACAGTGCTAGTTAGGAAAGGAAGAAAAATAAATAAAGAGACACAACCACAGCATTTATTCAGACTCCGTAGGACAAATTTTAGAGTACTGGAAGGACATACATGACTGATCCAGGACAGTGACCAGCTGGTAGAAGCGTCACCTCTATATCTTCTTTCTGGAAGAGAGGGGTTGGCGTTATTTTCACACTGCAGTGAGTACTGCTGGTACCTTCACTGACACGGTGAAAGCAACACATTGCTCTTCACAGACAACGCAGCACTTGGCACTGCTTTTGAATGAAGAGAGGACGTTTCTTCACATTGCAACAAGCCCTGAGCAGCAACAACCATCCTGCCATGCCAGAAGAGATGACGGCAGGTTGTAAGGTGCTCATGAGAGCCTGTCAACCAGGAGACAGCGCTGCTTCCTTGCCTCCTGGTGAAAAAACATCTTGGAAAAAACCTTGGGATGCTCTACAAAAGATAGGAGTTGTTTTCGTAACTTACCTCACCAGAAGTTTCATCTACTAAAGAAATCTGAGTTGGAGTTTCAACTTCCAGTGCAACCTGTAGCAAAACGAACAAATGCTATTAGATGACTTACTGAACATCTGGGTTCATGTTTAGGGCTAAGAATTCACTACACAGACATCTTCAGCATGTACTGCAGCTAATTCTAAGACTGTAAAATTGAGCTCACTTCTTTCTAGTAAGTCTTGGATTTCCATTCCCAGTGGAAAAAAAAATTATGTCAAAAAAATGAACTGGAGATATCCCAATCAGTGCCTGTATGCTTACAAAAAGGAAAATCTGTTGGCCTGTTTAATAGCAAAAGCACAGTTTTCTCTGGCTGGATCATCTGCCTTGGTTTTGTATAACGTTCAAGACATCCCAGTCCCAGAGCACACCAGTGGATTCACAAGACACCACGTCCCCGTTCCAGATTTCTGAGTGGTTCCAAGAGATCCATTGAGTTGGTACTCACACTGAGCTCATAAAATTTGGCTTCTCCATGACAAACCACAACGCTAATCAAACAGAAAACTACCTGGCTTGCTCCAAAACTTGCATATACACATCAAAAGCAATTTACACTAAGAATTCAAACCATCAGCAAGAGTTGTCTTTTTAAATAATTTTATCATCTGCAATTTCTTTCTGAAGCTGAATAAACTCACGAGGTTGCTCTTAAGCCTGCATACTCCACATTTCTCAGTAATGCCCTAATTTCCTAATGCAGTGAAACAACCGCCAAGGTTTAGATCTAAACCGCCTGATGAATTCTTCACTGACAGTATACACGACAGTGTCTCCAGCAGATCTTCAGTAATTTAAATTTTAAAGCCAGCAGCAGATTCAGAAAGCCTCTCGTGTCACATGAACAAACACAGGTCAGACTGTAAATCATAAAAACATTTGTCTGGAAGCTGATGTGATTGCTTCTTCAGTCTGAACATCAAATCAAATGGCTACGGGATGCTCAGAGTCCTTTGTGCAGAGCCCAGAATCACGTTCGCTCCTCCAGAATAATTAAATCTTTCAGTCACTTGAGACTTTGTATAAAGGTAATCACGTTCTCCTCAGCCTCACAATTAAACGTACAGAAATCCCCTTTTTCTCTTTTTCTTCCTACCTAGACTCAGCTCCTAGGTAAGAAACTCGTAGGAGCTTCTTTGAATATGGAGCTTAACACCCACAATTATAAAAACTATAAGGCAACTCTGAGCCATAACTGCCCAAGGAAAGAAGTTTCAGCTTGCCTGAAGTTCCTGAGCTGTCATTTGACTAGAAGACTCTCCTGTCCTTGCTTGGGGGACACCAAATCCTTACACTATGTGACGATGTACGTACACACAGTGGGATGTGAAAGGAATCATGCTCAGTTTCAAAGCCTGCATCTGCAAAGGGAAGAAAATAACTAACTACATCCATCTAGCTATAGATAAGCCACATCTACACACGACCACTGATCACTGGAAAGTTAGCTCCAAACAACTGAAATCAGGTAATTGGTTTCCTTAGCGATTTTACATCACTACAACATTTTCCTGCTAGAGATAATTCATCTTCCAAAAAGCAGAAGGAAGATAACGTAACCGAAAGATTACACTCCAAATATTACAGGGCTTTAAATGAAGCAAGAGAGATGTAGAATACAGACAGGAGAAAAGAGACATGAGTAAGTTGAGAGAAAAGGATCAATTTTGTGAAGAGAAAAATAAAATTGAGTGGTAAACAACAATAAAACAATCCGACATAGCAGGCAGCGGGGGAAGTTCCTACTGGTGTAGGAACTTAAGAGCTGAAATAGCATATCAAAACCAACATTAAGAAACCTTGAGGATGGGAAGCTTCCTCTTCCCTAGAGCCACTGCTTGGAAACCGTTAATTTAAAAATAAAGAATAAAAAAAATACTCACAATGTGATTCTCCCAGAACTTGTATTTCCAGTTAGTCAGCAGCAGTTCCTTAGTTACTGGCGAGCAATATAATTTAACTTTCAGGCTGAAAGGAGACAAGAAAGAAGCGTGCTTATTTGAAGTAGAGACAAGGAGCAACGATGAATTGGTACCTCACACCAAGTACACCAAAACATGCACACGGCTCCCTCTTTCCCAAAAAAAAACTATAGAACAGCAAGCCTGCAGGAGCTGTTCTGCCCCTGCCTGACGTGGGACATAGACAAGTTGCTTCACCTTGCAGGGCTTTTCTTCACTGACCGCAGACCCAAAATCTTACCCATGTGTGCCCACAGATGTGCATTTTTGGTACATGGCCACGTGTACATACATCTTTGCTCATCTCCATACCCACCAAGATCTGATTCAGACACATATGGTCTCCCTGAGACTTGGGGCAGCTAGCAGGCAGCACAACAAACTGCTTCCTGCAAAGCTCTAGCTTTTGCACAGTGCACAGATAGAGCTGATGAGCAAAGAGAGATTACCTGTGTGCATGTGAGGAGATGCAACACCTACTCTAACAAACTGTAACGGTGTCTGGGAACATGGCAAGGAACTGAAACTCAATTATCTGCAGGTTCAGATGTTAGACTGCTTTCAAGCCTGCTGCTGGTCCCTGCCAACTAACTCATCCATGGAATTCATGACTTCAGGAGCCAGATAATCCCACTGAACAGACAGTCTGCGTGAAGGCAACTGCTTCAAAACCCAAGAATTTAAGTCCTTCTCCATACAAGGTCATTTATTAAAGCACTGCTCAGCTCCTGGTCCAAAAGGAACAGTCGGAGCTCAAGAGGACCATGCTGTTACCATCAGCACCACTCGGATAACTGCTGCCCTTCCCAAGTGATGGAGCTCTCTGTAGTTTGTGATACTGAGTTTTTGGGGCACAGACCTCAGTGGCAGTCAAGTGACCTCCAGTCACAGGTGATGTTTGGTTAGAAACTGAATAAAAACCCTTCATAGTTTAGCTTTTGGGAGTTGGTGAAAGAAATACAAGAAAATCTGAAGTCGTACAAGGTGCATGTTTTCAGGACAGTGCTTCAAGTTGAAGGAAGAATTGGGATCCAGAGCTGTGTCCCTTTGGAGTCTTCCCCAGTGGCAAACGGGCTGCAGGCGTTCAGCTGCCTACTTTTGTGTGGCATAACCCTGAGGACAACGGTATTTAGTGGGCAAAGCATTGACAGCAGTGCTTAAATCACTGATGTTCCACATGTTTTGGTTAAACCATCGATGTTTGGACTGAAATAGGCGAGAAGTTAAGGATTTGAGAGGAGAAGGTCCCAAAAGTCAGGAGACCTCCTCCAGCAGAGCGCCAGACACCTCTTCGTGCCTCAAACTTTACTTTGTCCTCAAATAAAACATAAAATTCTGACAGGCCACGAACTGTCCTGTCAAAAATAATAATAATAATAATTCTCGCTGCCCTTCTTTCCAACCGCCGCCTCCCAAGCCCTGAGGGGGCCGTTCCCCTCGCGCCGTACCTGCCCTCCAGCCTCCTCTTCAGGGCGGACGCCCTCAGCCCCTTCATGTGATCTGCGGGGAAAGATGGCGGTCACAGGGGGCCGCCACAGGGACGGGCGGGAGTCGCCATGGCGACGGGCGGGAGGCGGGAAAAGGGGTCGCCATGGAGACGGGCGGAGGGAACAGAGGGGGGGTGGAGTGCCGTCGCCATGGCGACGGTCGCGGGCGCGCTCACCCTTGTGGCAGTGTGACAGGAAATAGGCGCGCGCCCGCAGGTTATCGCGGTCGAAGCGGTCGATGGACAGCGCCGGGTACTCCCGCAGCCGGCCCCCGAACCGGCTCATGGCGGCCTCTTCTTCTTCCGCCTTCTCGTCGTTAGTCCCGCCTCCTCCACAGCTCTCTGCCAATAGGAAAGATAGGTCCCGCCTCCCTCCGCGCTCTAGACCAATAGAAAGGCGGTCCCGCCTGCCTGCCGGCCAATCAGAATGAAGCCGGCTGACGGGCTGCTCAAAATGGCGGCGGCGGGAGCGGTTGCCTAGCAACGGGGCGCGGAGGGACCGGTGTGGGGCGGGGGAAGGCCCCGGGGCGGGCCGAGAGGTCTCTGAGGGCCGGGACGGGGGGACGGGGTCTGGGAGGGGGGTTAAAGGTGTCCTGGGGGTGTCCTGGGGGGAGGCACGGTGCTGAGTCGGGGCTTGGGGTGGCGGGTTGGGGGTTGGAGACACCGGCAAGGGCGGTGAGGAGTGGGTTAGGGGTGGGGATGGGGTCGTGGGGGGATGGAGTTGGGGTCGTGGGTGGGGCCGTGAGGGTGGGTTTTGGGGTCTGCAGGTCATCTGTGGGCATGGTGAGAGGCTGGGGTCCAGTCAAGATCGTGGGGCAGAGTCTTATGGTCATGGTGTCTGCACTGGGGTTAATCCTTCTGCAGCTCCGGCTTATGGGGCAGGGGAAGTCCCAGCGTCTGCCCTTCATCGCTACCTCTGCACACCCCATGTTTTTTGGTGGAGCAGTTTGGTGGTCGTGGTGATAGTTTTTAAGTGCAGTCTTATCTTTTAGAAAACGTCTTATTTCACTTTGTGAACTTTAAGGAAACAGAATTGGAGAAAGAAGATAAAAAGAAGCATTGTGGAGCAGCTGTTTTAGGGAGACACAAATACGACACTGTCTCAAGAACTTGAAAGTAAGTAGTGAGCTGCTCCTTGCTTCTCAGCTTTTAGTGGTGCTTAATACTGCTAAGGGGAGCCAAATCCCCAGGACTTCAAACACCAGGGAGTTCTCCTGTTCCAGCCCCACAGAAGCAGGTTGCTGTGTTTCCTTTTCCAGCGAGTAGCCAGGATGAGGATAATACTCTTGATAGCTGTACGTGCACACACAGTCACAAGCTATACATTCAGCTGGACACACAGACTGAAAACAGTGCATTTACTGGCACCCACATAAATACAAACAGCACTCAAATAAACATGAAGACTGTTGGTCCTATTCTCCCTCTCCAGCTGATCAGGATTGCAGTTCAGTTTTGACAACCCCTACCTCAAACTTGTCATAAATACATCCACATTCGTAAATGCTTCCAAAATTAGCTTTCTATACTGGTATCTGCCACATCTGGTGATTTCTCATATATACAGTAGTTTTTTTCATGTTCTGGACAAGAGGCACTGGACACTGAAATAAAGAAGGCTTTCTCTGAACATGAGATTAAACTTTAGTGTACAGGTGACTGAGCAATGGAACAGGTTGCCCAGAGAGGTTGTGGCATCTCCCTGCTTGGAGATACTCAGTAGCCATCTGGACATGGTTCTGGACAACCTGCTCAAGGTGTTCCTGCTTGAACAGGGGCTGGACCAGAGGATCTCCAGAGGTCACTTCCAACCTCAGCCCTTCTGTGGTTCTGTTTAGTCAGTGTAACGTCAGGCCAGGGGCCTAGACATCTACCTCAATACCTTGGCAAATACAAAAGGTCTCATGAAAAGTCTGTTGAAGCCATTAGAAATATTTGACTGGCTGTTATAGGAACCAAAATAGATCCTGTAAATGCTGACTTGTACAAGCATTAAGGAAACAAACATATGTAGGCCCAGGCTAGTTAAGATTCCGTAGAAATTATGGCGGGATAACATAAAAATCTTTCCCAAAGCCAAAATAGAGATGTGAAATGTCACTATTTCCCCTAAAGTAAGAGTAGACAAACGTTTTAGCAAAGTTTACTGTTGAACAATTTCATTCACATGAAAAGCATTAGTGTTATGCTGAATTATATTTTCTTACTATTGTCTTGCCCTGTGTTCAGTTTTGGGCCCCTCACTACAAGAAGGACATCGAGGTCCTGGAGTTTGTCCAAGGAAGGGCAACGAAACTGGTGAAGGGCCTGGAGCACAAGTCCTGTGATAAGCAGCTGAGGGAGCTGGGGTTGTTTAGCCTGGAGAAGAGGAGGCTCAGGGGCGACCGTCATGGAAATGATGGTTCTGTTCTGTAGGCTGTCTGGAGTACAGCCTATCTCATGCTCCTGCGCAATGAAACCAGATCTCTGTGCAACTCAGGGGCACTACAATAGACAAAGAGCACAATTTGCAAAGGGCTTAAATAGCATCATAGAAAGGATAGATTTTTTTATTATTATTATTTGAAGCCAGCAAGCTGGCACTTTAACTATGTGACCTTTGTACCTGTGTTTGAGCAGGAGCGCCTGTGGACAGGCCATCAGCAATGGTGAGTCAGGAAGTGCCAGGCTTGTCTAGGTGTCTTGGAGAAGCATGCACATCAGATGAATTCGGCACATCCTGTGATGAAGTACTTAACCCTAGCGATGTGTAAGTTACCAGAAAAAAAAAACTGAGAAATACTGAACTATTACGAATTGTAGCTCTAATGTCATCGCTAATAATGTTAAGTGTGTCGAGTCCCAGACTGACAGCAGTTCTCAAACATGGTTGAGCGTGCACAGGATAGGAACAGCTCTGTAATGGCTACAAAAGGGCACTCTGCAGCAAGGGATTAATTTTTTTTTTTTGAGATAAATATTACCAAGACTACACAAAAATTTATAATGATATATGCTAAGCATGTAATTTGTACGGGATACCTCATAACTGGGTGGGAAAATCTACTTTGGTTTTGTTTGGTTTTTTTTTTCAGTAGTAATTGTCAGCCTGCCATTCCAAAATGCCAGTAAAGAGCTGCAGAGCTCTTACTGCTTAATGCTTGCAGTGCTGAACTGCAAGACGCTTAGTGTTGCCAGAAAAGAGTCCTTGTGCATGGTTTTTATTGATCTTTAATAAAGCATATGTGGTAAGAGGAGATGAAAGGCCCTTTTTTTGCTAATGGCTCTTATACGGTCAGATGGCAGAACTGCAGGCTTCTGGTTCTCCATTATGATAACGATAATTCTTGATATATTCCCAAAGATGTGTATGCTGCAGCGTGACTTTTTTTTTTTTTTTCTTTCCTGCTTCTTTTAATGGACTAAAAGCATTTGAAAAGGCATCAGCTTTCCATTTTTCAAGCCCTCAGTTGATACAGGAACTTGCTAAGTAAGGAAATTTTACTTTGTGCAGGATTTGGAGGCAGCGTTCTACCCGAAGGCAGTGAGACTCTTCATCCCCTCTCTACAAAATCCATAAGCTTTTTCTCCTTCCTTCAAAATACGTTCCTAATTGCAAAGCTGAAACCTGGTGACGTTACAAACCTAGGAGAGGACCCATTTCTGGTTATATCTTGTAGATATGGTAGAGTTCTGTATGGTTGCTTGCAGAGACAATATAAAGTTCTGGTTTTAGTAACAGAATAAGATATACTCAAGAAAGCAAATGCAGTGAAATTCAGATATGAGGTAGAAATCAAATGATTCATATTTTTGAAATATAGTTCAGATCCACCATTGGTAAGTTTTCAGTCCATTTCTTTTTTAATTGCTTAAATTTTTATTTGTTTGATTTTTACACTCTGAGTTTTACCTCCCATGTTTAGAGCTGACTGACCTATTCACTATTTCTCAGCAGAATTGAACAAATGGGTTTCGTGTGGGGAGAATGTCCGTGGCAGTCAGTGCAGATTTGGGTTGGGCAAGCACAGACTAACATGAAGTTTGGTAGGTTGTGTGCCTTTCCTTTTCCTTACCTCACCCAACTTATTTCTTAAAATCAACTCCGTTGTCTCCATATGCATGGCGGTGCATTTCTCCCTTCTCTTCCATCCTGACTGCATCCCGTTCTTCAGTAACATCCCAGTTTTTCATTTTGTGGTTGCCAGTTTGGTGTCCCTTCAATAGGAAGAAAGAAAAACCTGAAAAGCTGCCTGGCTGAGGGGGCAGTGACTGTGAAAATGTGAAATTAGAAACAACCACAGGGTTTTGTTTGGTTTTTATGCATCAATGGGCACCAGTAAATTTTATGCACCACTGTTAACTCAGGGTGACAAAAATACCATGATAACGGTTTCCTAGATGTAGAAGTGTAGGTGACTTGGGTTTGTATGAGATCAATGAGTACATTTAATTTAATTCTGATTGTTTATAATGATTTTTTCTTTTTTAACCTTGGACTTTGAGTTGAAGACATTATTGCATTGTGTATAATTTTTTTGTTGTTCTACTCATCCATATGCCTCCCTAACAAAATCACTTACTTTGGCCTTCTCTTATTTCCTTTTCAAAAATCTAATTTCAGGATAAAGCCTGAAGCTTCTGCAGTCATGGCCAAAGCTGACCTCAAGCCAAAATCTATACGTCATGCCAAAAATTGGTCAGATGAGGTAGAGAACTTATACAGATTTCAGCAAGCTGGATACAGAGATGAGTTTGAATATAAACAAGTAAAACAAGTTGATACGGTAAGATTTGGAACTGTGCAAGGGTTATTGCATTACACTTCTGTCTCCTGTTAAATTATTAAGTAAAAATGAAGGTGCCTCTTATTTCCTCTCATCAGGCTAGCTTCTGGTAGGTTTTTTTTCTTCCAGATCTGACTTGAATTCTTGCACTATTATTAACTGTGCAGAGTAATTTATTTTTCAGAAGTGAAATAGAAACACTCACCAGCCTGTGTTTTTGTTCCACATCTCTTATGCATTTAGAAGTGTTAGAGATTTCTTTGAATAGATGTAGCTGCCATCTGAAAGACTAATTCAGCTTTGAGGAAAGGAATATATCAAAGGTAATTCTCTGTGAAGTTTCCCCATTCCTAACAGGTCTATTAAGAGGGTAAACACATCCATTGTCAGAGGACTCAGTCCTATATCATTTTTACCAGCTTCACTTTTACAGTTGAACTGCATGGTAGGATAGATAATCAGACCATGCACACCCAAAACTTGGTTTCTACCTATTTCTGAAACTGTCCCAAGCAGAAGTATTTGATGCCAACTGGGGTAAAGGGAGTTACGGAGGAGGCATTTGTCAACTGAGCACATCCAGGACTTGGTTGTCCAGTTGCTACAGCTACTGGTAATACTCCTTAGCACATCAGGTGAGGTAATGTAAAATAGCCAGATATTCAGTGGCTACCTGAGATTCAAAAGAGCAACAAAGAGTTTAGTACAGCAAACAACCTGCTATCTTTATTAGATCTCTGTAATTGCTCTTCCAAAGCACCATAAATCTCATGAAAAATACAGTTTAAAGTATGTTAACCTCCAGTGCACCTAAGTGTGGAATACTCCTGAGAAAGTCATTCCTCATTCCCATTAACTCAAAACAGCAAAACGTCGATGTGCATAATAAGCCACAGTTATTTATTTTGTTGTGGGCTCAGACACCGCCGTAAAGGCTGTAGAGTAAATTCCGGTGCAAAAGGAAATCCTGTAACTAGTGCGGCAGGATCAGTCTGCTCAAGATTTATGGCAGGGTGTAAACAATTAAAACCTCATAAAGGTTGAAGAACATCGCTTACTCCAATTGAAAATGATTGTGCATTCCGTTCAGACTTGCCAGGATCTGGTAGAGGTTCTCTTTCAACTGACACGTTTTGAAATGTCTTGTTTACTCCGTATTAGGTTTCCATAATGCAGTTATGGTTAATGATGCAATTAGAATGTAGATGTCATGAATATTAAGGCTCTTAGCTTCAGACAGAGAATGCAGATAACTGTATGTCTAAGTAATAAGGTAAGGAAAGTACTACTTCTGGAACTCTCCAGTTAGAGAATGCTCTACTTAGACATCGTATTGTCGACTCTGCCTGGAAGAGAAATGAGATTCTTATTACGTGATTTTTGGGGGTTCAAATTGATCAGAAACACAGTTCAAGCTGCAGATAGCTGCCTACCCAAGCCATGAAGCTGTTAAACTAAAGGCTTGAGCACTTGTTTGTTCAAAGCTTCACACTGTGAATACCAAACAGCACCAAGATGATGCTGGTTTCCTGCAGGATTGATCCTGCTGTCTTTGAGACCAGCTTTTACAGTACACGTAGCTCACTTTATCTTTATGAAATCAGTAATGAAATGTGCGATGTACACATTTTTCATGGTCAGAAGAATCCTGAAGAACCACTTAAGTGTGTGTCAGTCGTAGAGAAGTGGAATTTTACAGCATCTCAGATTACTGAATAAATGAATAGCATCAATGTTTTATTCCTAGATATATTCTAAAAGCTTTGACTGGCCCACTTTCTAAATGACTCTATCAAATATTCTTAGATCCATATTTCTAGACTTTTCTGATCAACAAAATCGTTATTCCAAACCAGAAAACTGGTTTCTCACATCCTGCTTTTAATCTTCTTTAAAAGTCAAGCAAATTAATAGCAAAGTAGCGGTCAGATGCAGTGAACTTTTCCAGTGAAATGTACCCTATATTTTCTGCAATATAATGCACAGACATTATTCAGTGGATGTCTATATATCCTTTTATTCTATTTGTAGGTGGAGTGTTGGCCAGAAACTGGATTTGTAAAGAAGCTTCAGAGAAGGGACAATACCTACTATTACTACAATAAGCAAAGAGAATGCGAAGACAAAGAAGTTCATAAAGTGAAAGTTTATGTTTATTAATTTTGTTACTTTTCCAATATTTGCATTGTTTTATAAATCTGTTGGTTAGGATCTGTAAGTAAATGGGATTTGTGTAATCTGACTTAAGTACAGATGTCATTCGTATATAGAATGGGGAATGTAGGAACTGTAGAGTGACCTGGAATTATAGACAGGGGAATTTCATTTTTTTTTCCCTGTTGTAATTAAAAGTATTATTATTGCTGGTTACAAATGATTTGATATCAAAAATAAAAAATGAAAAAACATGGCAAAGGGACGTCATGTATTTGGGCTGACTGTGTGCAAAGTCTATTACAAGATGTCATTAATCTTTATTCTGAACAAGATGCATTTGTTGAGACTGGCTAATGTCAGCCATGTTAGCCATGTTAGCTTGGTATAGCTAAGGACTGTGATGCTCCTGGGGGCCAGAGTAAAGCCAAAAGGCAAACAGACATTCCCTTGAGAACAGCAGGAATAACAAGCAGAAAACTTTATTAAAGGACACTGAACAACCAAGCCGCAAGGACAGTGCTGAACTGCAGATTTAAACAACTGGTTATTGTGACAGAAACAGTTACAACAAGAAATGTCTTTCTGAGCAATAGGTAAGGTACACCCAAAGTCTTATTTTTTATTTATTTTTATTTACCTGAGAAGTATTTTGGTGAAGTGAGAGCATAGCTGCCTCCTCCAGCTGCTCCAAAGCCAGGCCTCTGGAGCCCAGCAGCTTGGTGTGTGTGCAGCCTGCGGGACGTGGCTGCTGCTTTCCTTGTACAGGGCCAAGCCAGTAGCAAAGCTGAGCGGACATCCCAGAGAAACACAGACACACAGGATGCTGACATAGCCCATCACACAGCCTGCTACAGCGTGATGCCTTCAACAGCACCTACTGCAGGATTCCTATAAAACAAGCACAGCCAGCCGACTCCCTTCTTCCTCTCCAGCTGGCAGAGCCAGGTCACTGGTGCAGGTGCACAGGCACCACGCTCCAGGTTCACAAGCACATGCACTTCTGCAAGTGACCTGAGTACCAGCACGGCTCCTCTGTGTGCTGCTCACCTCGTTCACTCAGCTCTCTGCCAGTAGCTGGTTTTGGGAACACACACTGTCCCCATCCCAGTGGGATCCCCACTGGTTCCACTGCCTGGCTCCAGTTTCTACTCACACACACACAGGTCTCACAAGAGGCTGGTACTTAGTCCTCACACCACACATGAGAGGGAGAGTGCAATTACACAGAGAGAGAGTTAAGATTTAATAATGAAAGATTTGTTAAGAACAGGCTCTGTTGGTCAGGTGCAGGGCACAGCCAGACAAGCATAATGACCAGTGCCATTTTACATGTGACCACTTCCTTTTATACCCTTTTTTGCATATTGTCCCTCTTCAACTGCCTTGCCCTACATGTTTTGCTGTGTAGATCCCACTACTGCCCCTGTCCTGTGTCCCAAAAACCTCCCTGATTTACAGCCTTAGCAGCTGCAGTGTCCTGGTTGGCTTTCCTAGGAGTAGTGGCTCTAACTTGTGGATGGCCCAGCTCTTAGTCTGACAGGCAGGGTTTGTTTCTTGTCAGTGTCTTCGTGATTGTGATTGCTTTGTCGGATCTGTGCCCCAGGCTGTTTGCTTATTGCTTCCTTTTTTTTTTCTTTAGCATCCCAATTTAGAAGCCCTTTATCAGCCAGCCCTGCTAGAATAAACATTCTCACACTTAGCAATCACTGGGACTGAGCAGGTTTGTTTCTGGTGTTTGTTTTGTAATTTGGAAGTCCTCGATCAGATAACCCCGCTGGAATAAACATTCCCACATGCCACTTCTTTCCTTATCAATGAGTGCAACCCACCAGGTTTGTTTCTGGTCATTATCTTTGTTAACACCAATTGGTCAGGATTTATCTGTAAGTGCTTGTTCTTTTTGTTTTCCTCCTCATCCCGTCTGCAAGGCCCCTAGGCAGCCAATTTTTAGCCAGACAAATAAACAGTCTCACCTGCTTCAGAAATGCTGATTTTTGTAAGAGACGGCAGATGCTTCTGGCATCGAGCGGGTGAGCTGCCTAGAGTTTATTACCAAAACTTTTAAGCACAGTGTGGGTGCCGAAAGGTTGAATCTCACTGTCAAATTTGAAAGATTAGCAGAAAAGAAGAAGAAAAGAAAGCAGGAAAGAAAAGCCTTGTAATTGGTGCTGGAGACCAGCTTACAGCCATACCCTTCAGCAGCCATCATGCTGTATTTGAGAGTTCCCTCGCTTCATTATAAAACACATCTTGTGTTGACAGTGACAGTTTGGGTTATCCTTGTCCTTTGACATCGTTTGCATTCACATTTCAAGGCAGTTCATGCTAAATTTATGGTTCCTTACAACCCCTTTCATTTGTTCAATTAATTAATTTTTATCTGGGGCTGTGAAGTCAAAGGGGTTCCTTTTCTGTTTAAAAAGAAGCAACTACAGGGTTCTTGCCCAAATGTGTCTGTGATCTCAAGATAACATTAATCTAACGTAACAGTGGTTGCTGGAGTTACTCTCCCTGACATGGAGCTGGTATTCAGCTCTGCTTGCTGGGCGTGAAGTTGATACTCAGGTACTAAGAAGCCTTTTTCTGTTACTGGCATGCTGGATGCATCACTTGTAGTCAAAAAGCTATAAAAAAAGGGTCAATATTTTATCTTATTTCACAAATCTTTAACTGAAATGTCTTGTCTGTCACCTCAGTTCTTTCAAGCATATTGAAGGCTGTCAGCTTACTTGTGTCTTAACCTAAGGTCTCTATGTTGTAAAAAAGGATCAGGCTATCGAGGAAGCCCGGCTTCATTTTCAGGGTGACGCTCCAGTTCATGTGGATTATCTAGATAAATAACTCGTACTTCTGAATGCTGTTACAAAAACTCTCCATACTCAGTTTTAGTAACTTTAAAAAGAGAAAGGAAAGCTCATTTCTCCATTTCATTGCCCGGAGATAAAAATATGTGCCATTTTGTTAAATAGACTCCTAAGAAAAAGTAATTCTGTGGAAGTACTTTCATCGTGCTCACTGCCGGCCCTCGCAGGGCACGCTGCGGTGCTTGCAATGAACAAATGGGTGGCAGGGCTCCCTCTTAGCAAGTATTTAACCAGCTACCCACAGGAGTACGTGGTCTCATTCTAATTCATTCCACGGCTTTGTGCAAGGCAGGGATGAATGTTTTCTGTGCCTGTTGAAGCTCATAAGAGGCGGTAAAACAAACTTTTCCAAGACCTACTTCTCAGGCTTTGTATTCGACAGCTAGTAGAGAAATGGCTAAGCTGCAGCCTCATTGAATTCATCAGCTACAAGGAGGGAATAAAAGCTGTATTTTTGTGTTCTTGAGTGAATTTCAATGTTTTCAGCCTTTATGTGAATTCATTATGCAACAGTATTGTCTGAAAGCTATGCTACAGTTATTTGATTGCTTTACAGTCACGGCAGCACAATTACCACACAGAATGGCAGTATAAACATTTTAATACTCACTTTGGTACCTGAGTGGACAATTCCAGATCTGAAGATACTGGAACCTCAACTTTTCAATGTTTAGACGTGGTTCCCTTGTTTCAAGATGCTGCAAACGATTGACTGGCTTCAGGCTCACTAAAGATGACTTTAACTCAACGGCTGTTGATGTCGCTGGGCCTCACACTCCAAAAAAAAAAAAAAAAAAAAAAAAAAGAGGGAGCCTGTCTGAAATCAGCTTGAATCACCTTGCCTTATTTTCTTTGCATTTTTTATTACCCTTGTTCCACTGACTGTTACTTACATGTGGGAGCTGCTTCTTAGCAGCCCCCCTGTGCTCACGTTGTAATGACTTACTGCTCTCAATAAAACATTTTCTTTCTTGTTGCAGTTGAGATTTTGCATTTCTTTAAAGCCCAGCACGCTCACAAGAAGCAGGGGAATGCCTGCTGGCAGGAGAGTTCCAGGCTGGCACCAAAAAAAGTGCAGTGTGACTTTGAACAAGCATAACCTTTTTTTGGGTACTCTGTTCAGCCAGTGCATTTACATATCTCACTGCTAGGATACAAAATCTTTGCTGTTTGGTGCTTTTGTGGATTTTTTTTTCCTCTCTCCCATACTTCAAAGCTTCAATATTCTTCCATACATTATAGATGGAAGATTGGGGGCACCTCCCCAGGCATCTCCACACCCCTAGCAGATGATGGGGCTGCTCTTTTCTGCTGGGGTCCAGCCCATAGCAAGGCTGAGCACACGCTCTACAGCCTCATCGCTGTGTGTGCTCTCACTCACACACTTTCTGGCTTCACAGATCCCTGAAAAATCAGCAAGACCTAGCTCTGTGCAGTGCTTGTAGCCAGGCTCCCTGACCTGTACCAGCCCTTGACCGCTTCTAGCTGCGGGTTTTCTACTCACCAGCCAGTGCAGCCTGAAGTCTGCAAGCAAATTGCAGGGATGTGGGGCTGAATTCTCTAGAGAAAGAAACACAGCCAGGCTGCTGCAGGTGTTGGCAAACTGGGAGGCGATACAGAAAAAATGGGATTGAACAAGAAGACAGGCCAGACTGCAGGGGTCAGGTGCAAAGTGTGGACAGGTGAGCACCCCTCTATCCCTCCGCCTTACCATCTTCTCATACTCGCTCCATCCTGATCATGCCCTTTCCGTGTCTTTGATTGCTCCCCTGAACAAATTTTGTTCAGTGCTCCAAGCCCCCTCAAATAACCCATAATACTTATGCTAACCATATTTTTTCCTTCTTAATGGTCACAAACCAAGGCTGACCATCCCCGCAGCTGGATTCGTTCTTTTAACTTCTCCTCAGCCACTGCCTGAGGCGTCCTGGCCTTCATTACCCTCATTGCTATCACCTGCTCGTTGAGTTTGTGTGTAGTTAATTAAGCACTTCCCTTCTGGTTTGCTATTTCTGTGGCACTGAATCGTCCTTCACCAAAAGCTCACTGCCCAGGTGCTCTCATTTCTCACAACCTCACATCAGGGAAACTCCTCAAAGCAGGAGGAGGACAGGGGAGGGAGGGGAACAGAGCACATATGGAGGGAAGGGTAAATGTGTGTGGGCAGTCAACCAGGCAGCGCCTTGGAGAGATTTTGTACCACAGAAACCTCCTCCCTCACTGGCAGGCGCTCAGCGATCCCTGGCTGGGAAGCGGGACGTGGGCCCAGCTCCTCGCCGCAGATGTTCGGCCTTGGCAGGAGCACCCCAACGCCTCAGCCAGAGGAAGGTGTCCTGCCTGGGCGCTGCGCTGCTGGCAGCCACCAGGCTTGGCAGGGGGACGGAGCGAAAAGCAGGAG